AAAAAGACAGAATTTCCTCACGTCTTTTATTACAGATTGATAAATAGTGCTCCTATTTCGCAATAAGAACGAATCATTTATCAAAAAGTAATCAAAAACTATCACCTAGAGGGTATCCTGCGACACACTTAGGATCAAGCTGTAAGAGAAAATTCCAATTAGTAAAGAAATTAATTTGAAAACTTACCTTGACGTTTCGATAGCTATTTTCTGCTATCGTTATCAAAAGAACCTAAATGAACCTAAAAAAGAGTAATTGTTAATAAATTGTGTAACAATAGTAGGATAATACAGTATATGAAAATTCGTTCTGATAATTCGTCTGTGCAAATTGTCAGTTATTGCAATTGTTTTTCCAAAATAAACGATATCAATAAGAAAATTATAAATATATAAAAATCTTTACACAATAAATACAACCAAAACGATTTTAAACCATTCTTTGAACAACAAAAACAACAAGACTTATAACAAAGCAATATTTTCTCCGCTAACTTTTTGCCAAGCTCAATGAATTATAATTTACTGCATCTAAGAGAAAATGTTTCATTTTTATCGGTTGCCTCTAACATTTTCTTAAAAATATTTTTTTCTGTAATGATATTTTAGCGAATGAATTACTCCTTGATCCATAAGTTGGAGCTTCGCACTTGTGTTCGGCGGCATAAAAACCAACTTGATTTGTTCTGATTTAACATATGGGTGTTACAAACCATCGTCAAATTCGTTATAAACGGAAACTGAATATACTAACTAACCTAAAAAGCCATCGTTATATCCGAAAGTTCGTTATAAACAGGATCGTTAAAACCAGTAAAAAAATACGTAGGTCTGTATGGGTGACGTTTCAATTAAAGGGGAAAAGTACGTTTTGACCGAAAGTTCACTATAATCGGGTTCATTATAAGCGGACTTTACTGTACTTGAAATTTTATGTAAAAAATTTGTTGCAGCCACTCGAATAATTATTCGTTTTCCTATAAGCGAATAAGTTCTACTTAATTTCAGTCGGATTTATTGTTGAAAAGGACTTACTTTAATGGAATTTCGACAACATTTTTATAACTATTAATATCTACAAAATGTAAAAACAAATAAGTTTCAAAATGCCGTTGAGAAAACTGCTCAAAATTTTTTTTTCAAATGGAAATCCTGCATGCATGTGAAATTTTTATTTTTGATCGAAAATTGCATACGGGGTGGAGGTCGATTTTTTGTCTCTAATTCTACATCTAATCGACGTGCGGAATGCAACGAGCTCAATTAAAAAAACGATGACAGCTTTAAATCCGAAATAATCGACATTTTTGGCCTAGTTTGACTGTTTTTGAGTTCTTTAACCGACAATACCTTACTTATTACGGCCCAAACCCTGTATATTTGCACATTTCGGAGCTTTTTAGGTCGGAATCGATCTATTGAGTTGAAAAAACACGCAAGGGAAAATTTTGATTATTGACCAAACATTTAATAAAAGGCCAAGTAAAATTTCCAGTCACTCAAAATGCCTCCAATTCGACATCGATTTAATGATAACGTAAAAAGCTGATTTTTGGCTTGTGAAGTATGCAGCTGTGAAGTTTCAATGTGAATGTTCTTGGCTCAAGTTTCCGTAACATTTGTCGATAGTTTTATATCGGAGCGGGCTGAAAGACTTAGAGCGTACGAGGATGGATTACATTGAATGGAAAAGCTTTTCCCATTTCGGAAGTTTGGCGAGTGCTAAAGAGTTTCTATGTCTGATTGGAAGCTACATTTGATGCCTTCAAAGCATGCGGCCGGATAAAAATGTCGACTCTCTTCTAAAGCTAATTTGAACAGTTTTATGAAGGTTTATAATGGGATTAAATATGATTGCAAAACAGTAGTTGAGTCATTAAATCATTTTATTCTAAACTAATTGACTAATTACACTATTAATAGCCGCCGGTAAAGCTTAATTTCTGTTATTCCCTGGCCAGCAAGGACCAACTCAACTACCTTTCCATTGCTTCTAACTGGTTATAATTCCCATTTGAAGTAGCAGTTAGCAAAGTTTGTATTTGGAATTGTTTTAATGTTAAAAGTCCAGATTTGGGTTAATTGGGCTTGTTGGTTTTGTTAATATGCGTACACTCTTGGTCTATTGTGTTGTTTCGTCATTTAAACGACCGCAATAATTTTTCCCATTATGATCATTCCATATATTGCAGTTTTGTAAGCATTGGCGGCTCATCTTGCACAATTATTTATTGTGAAATCAGCTTAATAACCATTTCTGTGCTCTCCAGCTGAGAGGAAACCCATCATTCGTAGCAGCAAAAGACTAAACCGAAAGTTCAACATTACATGTATATGTTTCACTTGGAGTTTGAAAATAATTGGTTGAACAGAAATTGCGTTGCTTTATGGGATTTACTATTACGGTCTCGTATTGCGTTATAATTTAATTTTAACAATTGCTTCGAGAACATTCAATTTTAGGTCACTTTAGTGATCGAAATTCACACTTTTACTCATTTCGGTTTTTTTGTTTCAGATGGAGGTTCTGACGAAGGAATCGGCATGACAGGTGAGTTTTGTATATCTTTCGCTGATCTTCAATTCTCGTTTCTTGGCTAAGATATAAATATTCATGTTACTTGAAAAACACTCTTTAAGCCCACTTTGAATCATTGGTTTTGTATTGATGATAACTCGTTTTTTTCTTACCGTATGCAAGCTTGGGTTATGTTTACACATAACGATCAGAACAAGTATGCCAAAGTAATAACTGTAAGCAAACCTTCATTCTTGCCGGCCTTTTTACTTACCAGTTTTACGACAGGCCAAGTGGCCTATCGGCCAACTAACAATTGACGTGGAATTGTTTATTTTATGCAATGGGCTTTGGCTACTTAAGCTAGAAACCCATTTGATTCTCAAGCATTTGGTTGGCCGAAAATAACTGTAACAAGCCGTTATTCAGAACGTGTTTTGTTGGCATCATTTTCACCCTCTATATGCCTGCATTGATCAGTTTATCGCTTTAAAAGAGTTCTTTTTTCTGAACTGATTTCTAGTTTGAAAATGTTCGACAACAAACGGACGCAAAAAAATTAAGAGTTTTTGGCTGTCCAATGAGCAATTTCAAGTTTCTGAACGGTCTTTAGATGAACTGCAATTGAAGCCAAATCGGCTTAAAATCAATTTTTTTCTGGCAATAATACCCCGCTAATCATATCGCAATTTATTCACGTCTGTTTTCTGGCATTTTAAATGGTAGCAAAGTGGGTTAACACCAAAAACTAAATAATTCATGTTCGCAACTAAACTAAACGCATATCGATGCATGCCCTGACTTGATGCCCAAATTATACTTTAAAATGTTGATATTCATAAATGAGCTGAATACATCGGGCTTCATTGACATTCTCCGGTGGCTTAAAAAAAAGAAGTTATTCATGTCATCCATGACCGTGTGTAGTAACGGTACCCAATCGCGGGCTTTACTACACTCGAAAAATGATTTAAAACTGCTGCATTTTATCTGTTCATCAATTTTTTCACCGTTTTTAACGCCATTTGATCGGCAATTAGTTTAGTTAATTATTTAATGGCCTAAAATGTGTTAATATTTAGGCAGGCGATTCGAAATTGCCAATAAAGTGAGTGTTTTGATGGTAAAACTGCCATCGCGTTGCGGTTGATTTTACGTACCAGTGACGATATAATGCAGGAAAAAATGAGGTCGGAAGTGATTCTCCACATGTTTGAGCGATTTTGGTGAGCTCATTGAAATTTAAATTTATTTAACAGCATTCGGCCGCCACTAAATGAGACAACCAGCCGAGTAATCGGCTTAATTAACGAATATGTAATAAATTTTGGATTATTTCCAAAATAATTAATCGCGAACCATTATATTATTAGCGTGTCCAATATTTTCAAAAATTTGTCAAAATCACTGGTGAGCCTGATGGACATTCAAACTCTGCGCCTTCAGTAGGACCATCTTTGCTCTATATTTGGTTGAAATTGCGATTTTCTTTCTGGTTAGAGCTTAAAGAACGAATTTTGGAAATAGAGCTTTCATTCCTTAAATCGCAGCCACGGGACATGAATTTTCAAAAATTTACCAAAATCAGTCTTTAGCGTGATGGATTGATGGAACTTCCTCTGTTCAATAGGTAAATGTTTGCTCTATATCCGATAAAAATGTCAACTCTCTATCTGCTTGGGGTTTCTCAAGGTGCATTTTTGAGATGAAGTGAGATTGTTTGATTATCGAAAGTTTCTCAAAATCCCCCTAAGCCTGAACCATTTTTGCTCTATGTTCTCTAAAAATCCGGTGGTTTATTCACAGTTGATTGTTGATAATTATTAATATAAATCTACACTACAATTAAGTAGCGATGAAGTACAATGTTCTTGTTTGCTCTACAAATCCGCACATTTGTTTGGCCTGGATTGTGTATTCCCAGAACAGCTTGCTACCATAATCGTAGAAGTTTAATTGGAACATTAGCAAAAGTCTGGCTGTTGTTATTATGAATCCGTGCATTTAGCTGTGCTTTTCAATGGTGTTTAAGTGGAAAGGAACATCTCGTCTGACCGGCACCAGCTGACGCCGTTTTCAGTGGATCTTCGGTCGAATCTGGGACAACATCGAAGTGGTTTTTGGCACCGAAAATCGTATCGACCGGATTACTGTTCCGGTTTCCTGTTCCGACATTGAAATTTTAACTTGCTGCTTGCCTCCCTCGATGTCGAAAAACCATCTCTTTTTGCTAGTTGCATTTGAATTATTGTGGATTCGAGCGCTGCTCAACCCGCCCAAGAAGCGGACAGTTTATTTTGCTTGTGGCTGGTTTTTTGAGAGTACAGTTGGGAACTGGCTAAAGTCGCCCACTTTTCCTGCATGATTTTAGCTTAATCGGTTGGTTAGAACTTTTCTCATGACAGGTACTGTACCAAAAGCTTTTTTAAACCGCATTAAAATTCATTAAAATCATTTGGTTTTGATCGTTTAATGCTTGTGTACCTTTATGAGATTTTTGGCGATTGCTCAATTTCTTCAAAATTTGTCCACATTATTGGCGTTTCTTCTTTTAATTGGTAATGAAATAATGTCGAATACAACGTTCACAGCGAACTATTTCCCTATATTTAGACTCAATTGCATAATAAATGGTTGCACTGAACCATTTCTTAATACATGCTATTATCCAATTAGATGTTTGCAATTATGCGTGTAAATAAATTGCGTGTGCAGTCAAAGTGTGCAATCTGTAATGCCTTATAAGTCCCCCGAACACCGCGTTTTAGAATTGATTGATTTGTCCAAAACTTGTTAATAAAAGTACTTGAAACAGTTTTTATCGATTCCGATTGTATAACGGCGCTAATCTCTTGGAGGCATTCGACGTGCAAACATACTTACAGTTAAATAAATACATGTTTCGACTTAACCACTTTTGGTAAACACTTGTTATCCATTGTATTATCCAGATTAAAGTTCAAGTCTGTTATCACATGAACCAAATTTTGGACAACTTTTCCCATTCCCATGCCTAGTTTGGCTGATAGTGAAGTTTATTGAAAGGGAAAGGTTGAAAACGAAATGAACAGTAACCAGAACTGGTTGGTTGCAAGTAAAATTTATTTACAAAATACTTTTTTAACTTTCCTATAACTTACATATAACTGTGTCGCAACATTCCTAAACAATCGTTCTTTATGCACGATGCATCCGAGCCAGTTGAGCAAATTATGAAAATCCAACACGTCTCTTGATTGTCGCAATCCAAAGATATTTTCGGTTTGCGAAATCTCACAGGCCAAATACTAGGCATTTTTATATTTAGAAATCGATGTGGGCTGTGTGGGTCTTTCGACTTTTTTACTATCTGATTTACTATCTGGCTAACTCATGTCAATTTAATTGAATGAATGAGCGAAGATTGAACGTTTGCCGAAATCAACAAATCCATCAACTTGTTCAGATTAAGCTAAAATTGATTGATTTGCTGTATGATGTTTGGCAGTGAACTTTGGGGGCGAGAAAATTAGGTCTGAATTCAGACTATGAAAAAAAATGTTTAAACAGCGACTAATTACTATGAGGTGACTGACCTAAACTAACATTTCACTTGGTTTTGAGCGATTTAACAAAAACAAACCGTCTGGGCAACAAGTTGGATAAACCACCATGACATGAATCTTTCACAAATGTTTATAAACTCATTCCGCAAAAAAATGAACTAGTTTTATTTAACAAGGTCGCACCGAGCAGCTCTAGAACTGAAAGCAAAAGCGTATCGAAAGATTGCAAGTAAATCTAAATTGCAAGACGATATAACCAAATGCGTCTAAAACCAGTCTATGGAACGGTTTCAAGATCAATGCTATCGAAAGTAAAATCTAGATTAAATTGTACAGTTTAGCGGGGAATTTTTGCATGATTTTACAGATTTTTTCGGTAAAATATAGTGCCGTTTTGGGCTCAAAGTTTCGCTTTTTCCGGGCTTGAAATACGAAATTCTAAAATATGCCCATCGTGGCTGAAGATTGATGAGCGGTTTGGCCTCATTTTCTTTGAGGTTAATGGCTCTTCCAATCCCGATCCCACAAACCTTGATAAGACATTAAGAACAGTGTCGATCGTCGAAGCTTTCCCCAATATGGAGCCAAGAAAAACTGTGAAAAAACATTCATTTCAAGCGCATTCAGAGGGACTTTCCATTTCCCCTTGAGCATTTGCTAAGGTTTAGCTTGGATTTTAAATGCGTTACTTAATGATAAAAAGTTTAAATGCGGAAGTTTTCGTCGTTTCTTGTTTGGCCCAGCCATCGATGTTGATTATTAATGGCAAAATAATTTGCAGCCTTGAAATTTTCGATCTCACATATTTGAATAGGTCAACTTCAAGATTACAATCACGTTTTGCGAGTTTTTTAACGCTGATTAAGCGCAGTTGGAAATATTCCAGAAAATCGCGTTTTGGCTCGGCCAATTTCGTTAATGGTTTAGACTATCAGCCAATAGTGGAGGCTTTTATCATTTTAATATCGATTCGGGGCCTGCGAGCAAACACTGAGGAATAAAAGCTCTTAAAATATTGATTCAATTGATACGTTTAAACCGATACACAAAAAACTAATTCAACTGTGTTTCATTGAGTTTTAAGCGAGTTTTGAGCAGTCACGATGTTTAACTTTTGGGAGGTTCTTGGGTCTATTGAGCTCAAAAAATACCTACGCATGTAAAATATTGATTTTTGACGGAAAATTTTTTACGCTGTGAGGGTCAATTTTTTCAATAAATATCGAGTCTCCTTCATATAAAGGACACGATAAATCAACGGACATTGAAAAACACCCTGGAAGCTTTATATTCGAATTAATCGACATTTTGTAGCTATTTTAAGCGGTTTTTGAGCCGTCACTATCTTCAACCGACCGTATCTTTCTTGTTATGGACTCAACCACTGTAGATAAGCACATTTGGGGGCTTTTTAGGTCAGAAGCAATCCATTGAGCACAGAAAATACGCATGTGAAATTTTGATTTTTGATCGAAAACTTTTGAAGGGTAGTAAACCTCTCAAAATACCTCAAATTTTATATCATTTTCATCTCAACTAAGCCAGGCATGCAAAGAGATCACTTAAAAACTTGCTAGCAGCTTTAGATCCGAAATAATTAACATTTTTGGCACATTTTAAGCATTTTTTTGAGCGGGCCCGATCTTCAAACGGCGACAACTTCCTTATCGCAGACTCAAACAAACACTTYACATGTGAGCATCGGGGAGCTTCTTAGGYCGACAGCAATTAATTAAGCTCAGAAAGTACCCATGTTTTTTTATATTTAACCGATAATTAAGACTCAAAATTTATTAMGTCTCTCAAAATGCAYCTAATTGTACATYATTCTCATCTAAAGCACGCGAGGAATGCRACGAGCTCATTTTAAAACGGTCTAAGAGCTTTAGATGCGAAACTATTTATGCAATTTTTGAGCGTCTCTGAAGAACTGCATGCYCTTGAAGACGCTGATCTTTTAAACCAAATCCCAAATTATCAATTTTTATTATAATCCACCTTGTACCTCGACTGTGAGGAAGTAGGAGTCGACTTCCCATTAAAATATAGTGAATAATCGATGAGTTCAGCAGCGGTTTAATGCAGATTAACAATGCAAGGACGAGAAATTGTTTGGCCATGAAGAAAATACTGTTGGGTTTTAATTAGATGATTTTCAGAATTGTTAATCCGTTGCAAAAAATGCTGAATATCCATCAAAAGTGCCAGCATAGTTCAGCTTGATTTTCATTACGAACGGCCAATTGTTCCCTAATCCGCAATTAAGTCCTCAATTAAACCGCATAAGTAACGTTCCTTATACTAATTTTTTCTGCTCTATGATTGTGTTGGATTGCTGGTTATTTAAGCTGCCACTATTTGTTTAATGATTGCTAAAAATCCATTAACGTGTCTAAGAGGAGAGATAAAATGCCATTGTTTCCACAAATTTTAATAACCGCGTATGCTCTAATCTCAACAGCAAACACTGTTCGAATCCATTATGTCATTTCTGAAATCCAGCAGCAACTTAAAAGTGAAATTATAAATGTTTTTTTTGTTATTAGAAGCATTCATGGTGTTTCAAAGCAAATGTGAAAAGGCCTCCGGAAAGTTGCAATTTTGTTTGTTTACAGATATTTAACTCATTAAGTGCATTAAGTGAAGTCCAATTGTATTTTAATATTAAATTTTATTTGCTACACCCATTTGTCCTTAATTAAGCCCAATTAGGCCTTGTCTAGGACCGCTACTGAACAATTTTGTAAATGTAGAGCCATTTAATATCGTTTCGACATCAATATGTGTACACCCACTGAATTTTTATATGCGTGTTCCTGCAATTACAAATGCCAACACTCGATTTAAGTGTGTTAATGTGTCTTGTTTGGCTATAAAATTCTTATTATGAAATGGAACCGACCCGTTTATTCAAAAAAAAAATGAAATAAAAATGAGAAAGTTCGCTCGAGTCGGGGATTTATAATGGAGTTGAGAAGTTGGTGCACTAGTTTGGCAGTTAGTTAGATGAAGACCTGGATAGACCGGAAAAGTTAAATGAAATTTGGATAAAATCTGTTGCCGTATGATAATGCTAATAAGTAACATTTTGCAGTCATATTTTACAAAGAGCTTTTGATATTGAAGGTTTTGGAACAACCGGGGAGACGTGGGAAGACTCAACCTCAACAGGCTATTTTACGCACTAATGAAGGCAACAGCAGTTTAGAGTTCGCTTCGGGATTAAACTTTGAAAAATGAATAAGTTTGAAAAGTTCTAAAATGTGTTGAACATTTTAGGCTGCGTGAAGTGTTGAAAAATTAATGAATTATTTGATATTTGAATTAAAGTGTTTGTGATATTGAGGCGCTTAAAAAGCTTCTTCTTGGGCGGCTTGCATGCGTCAGTTTGGGGTTTGCGGAAGAAAATGCACCCGTTTCTCGGGACACTGTTTACTAAAAAAAATGTATTTGTGAACTTTGGCAGCCACAGACGCATCGGACCGCATTCCCACGCAGTTTATACACGGAAGCATATTGCAAACCATTCCAAATTTCACAATCTAAACATTTATAAATTTGGCGCTGGATGAATTCACAAGCGAAATATTTATAGAAGTGACGATCCACAATATTTTGGAAATCCAAAGCGAGTTAACTTTTCGGAATGGATATGTGTTGGTTGGTTATTGTGGTTCATCCTCCCACTGGATTTTATCCGATTTGTACATAAGCATGTGTAAACTAGCCGAACAGCACTGGAAATAGTCCCATGGGTTGAAGAACGGGTTTCAGCAATTGTTAACCAATTAGGAACGTGCGTATTTTAATGGGCTACTAACTGATATTTAGACGGTTTATGTGTGTCGTTCATAACTGGTTAATATTAAGTGATTCTATAGAACTTTTAAAGCCGATTTTAGCATGTTTTGATGAGAATCTCTTTGTTTAATTTTTTTATTAAAAAATCGTTACTTCGTAGTTAATAATATCGATGAATCGCGGGCCAATTTCCGGGCCGTTTAGACTCAATTTTTGTATATTTTGTTGGGATTTTTTTTAATTGTACATACTTTCCTGACTGTGTTTCAGTTCCAAATCAAAATCAATTCCTGGGCGTCAGTCATTTATTGTCTATTTATCAATTAAAATACGGATGTATTACGTATTTTAATTGATTTTTTTAAATTAAAAAACTTGCCGAACGCTGTGAAGCCTAAACAGAAATTGGTATTATTTCAACGTCGATAAGAAAGTGGAAAATACACTGAAAAGTTCCCCAAATAGAAGTTGCAATTGTGTTGTTTCTTTCCCGTTAAAAGTAGGTAATTCGTTCACGTTTTCCCGCTTTGGCCGCTCCACTGAACGAATTAGATTGGGCGTCTAAACGCTTTAAGGAGCGGCCGGGAAAAAGGGCCGCATTACTGTTTGTTGTATGCCGGCTAAATTTTCCTGTAAATGATAAATAGAACACGTGAAGTCTGCAGCATCATTGAAAAATGTTTTTGCGCGTTTTTTCAATTTTTTGGCTTTGTTTCAGGTGGCGATGGAACGTACCACTTCAAAGTACTCGTGCCAAGTGTGGCAGCCGGTGCCATCATCGGCAAAGGGGGTGAAACCATCGCCCAACTGCAAAAGGAAACCGGAGCCCGCGTTAAAATGTCGAAGTCTCATGACTTCTACCCTGGTAAGTGCCAAGTTCACTAGAACTCGGTTTGTTTTTATTTATATCTTATCCTTTAACAGTTGTTTGCCATAACGATTTGTATGGAAATTCTATACGGATTTTCATCTGCTCCTTCAGTCGCCTCTAAGAATTCCAAGCGAAATATGCATTTACCTATTTTTACTCGATTTTAATATGTATTACAAGTTTTGGCAGGTACGCTAGTAACATTATGTAATCGCACGCAATTCGCATGGGGATCTCAAAGCCAATGTCAAGTATTAACCAGTCACGTGCGCTCATTAAAGCAAACCTAGTAAAATGAAGCCAACAAAATAAACGCGTCCCATTGTATTTTTACTGAGGCATAAGCCAAGAAAAGCCACCTTCTCCCACGTTTTCCAATCGGATTATGTAAAAACATGTTCGCAACAACATGCAACGCTGATCAATCGAAGTGGACGTTTTTGGCACCGTGGAGAAGAAAATGTTTTGTTGCATTTTCAGTTGCAGAATGCACCTTTCGCGTTTTTTTCTCAAGTCAATTGAGACACTAATAAAATAGATGCATTGAAGAAGTATAATTTTTTCAATTAATTCGTCATAATTATATGCCAATCAGTTCCACCAAATGATCAAAACGCCACCAGAATGTATATAACAATGTTGGCATCGATATGTGAATAGCAGCTATTTTCGTATAGAATGTAGGTTAGTTTCGTAATAAATTACAATGACAAAATATTTACTTTAATAATTCGATTTAGAGACCATCGGAGTGAATGAAATTAGAACAGCGATTAATTGCCCGATGATAAATCAAGGGAAGAGCGGAACTAGTTGTAATATGAAAGTCTCTAGAGTCCAAATCTGGATCGCTCACTGGCCGCCCATCGGACCTGTGGTCGATGTAGAAGACTTTGCTTTGCAAATGTACTGCTATTTAAATAAATAAATTTATCTGGCAATGATTTGCCTTCCTCCAAACATCTTTGACACTTTCTAGATTACAAAAATCAGCAAATGTGCATGATGTTTTTTTCATACAATGGTTTCGTTGTGTTCTACTATTGCAAATCAAATGTTTGCTCGATACGATTTTCACGATTTTGCCCTTGAAGTTTGGACTTCGGCAGCTGATCATACACAACGCACGTCAATAGATAAATACATTCATTATTTATCCGGTTCATGCGAGAGGACTCAAGTTCGTAATATAATGAAATTTCTCGTAAATTGAAACTTTACAAGCGGCGCAGCCATAGACCTATTGGCATTTGTTAACTCTGACTTGCAGTTGAAGCGTTTGGCAGCTTAATCTATTTCTTTCAATCAGTTTTTTCGATAACATTCAATTCATTTAATTGGAGATAATCAGTTTTGCTCAGTGTGCGCTTCTTTCATTCATTTTCACTAGCACTGCTTCCAAATCCGTTAGTTTTTCGCGACTTAAAACACCAACAAACTCGATGTCTTCATTATCAGTTGCGGTTTTGCCTGCCACCTTTTCTACTACTTAACTATTTGAACTATTCTCAAATCGACTTGCTCAAACCTGGACCCATCATCATTTCCATTAAAAAAATAAAGGTGTTCAAAAAATGAATTATATTCAGTGTCATTTAAAGCTGAAAACTGGTCTTCACATGAAGATGTTCTTATTGCGTAATGGACGGTTTCTTCATTCGTAATGACAGCGTTTGAGCCCGTTTACTCTACACTTAGTTCCGTTAGGAGCCCAAAGAAGTAACATAAACAATAAAAAGTGAAACTAGCTGTTTGTGGCCGGGCCCTGATGCAAGAACGTGAACATGATCATAATACGAACTGTGTTTGTTTCTAGGTGTTTAATTTCAGTTGAAATATAAGGTTTCAAGGAAACCTTGTCGAATGACGAAAGCCTGAAATGTGCGCCTAATTTTGGCCATAATATTTCGGTTGTGAAACGTGGTCTTTGTATTAATAGATTTGCATACCATCCGGCTGGTTGGCCTTGTTTCGGCAGAACTGGAAGCGATATTAATAAAAATGAACGCGTTTCAGAGGACAATTAATCTCCAGAAAAACAAAAACATTTTGGCAATTGTGCGAAGATTATTCTCCTGCCTAGTTGAAACTGCACGCGAAACTCACTCAATTAACTCTGACCGATAGTATAATTGCATTTTTAGTGGAACTCGTTTGCCGTTGAAAAAAACTGGTTTAAATACGAACACAACATTCTAGACTGTAGTAGTTTAACATTAAATACCTTTAAAATGTTTTTTTATTTAGTGGATTCTTCATCTGCTCATCTGTTTGAGCTCAATGTTGGTCGTTCTGTAAAGTAGTAGTAAAGACAATGTAGCTGGAATTTTATATTTTATTTCTTGTTTTGCCATGCAGAAGACGGTGTTTCCAGAAGGCTTTTATCGTTTAGCCAACTGACAGAATATCAGCCTAAATATGTATGTGGATCATCAAAGTTCGCTGGTTGTTCGAGATATTGGCAACATAATTATTTGAGATAATGTCGAGTACAGCGTATTTTTAGACGGTTGTTAATGTTATATACATTAGGATGTGTGTAATGAGCGACATCAAAGGCATATTAAAGGACTGCCAAATCATATTTATATCGATGCAGTGATGGTAACTTGTGCACTAAATTTTGCATAATACATTTATAGCTTGGATATTTATGGGCCATGAGTCGATATTGTTAAGTGTACATACACGTCTTGAATGTGTATTACCATAAAATTTCCAATATTCCGTGAAAATGTCGTTTATAAGAACTTTTATTGAAGGATTTTTACGTGCTGCGCAAACTTGATGAAGTTCTATAAATATTAATTCGATCCCCATGTTTAGGAACTGCTTGATAAAACCATATCGATATTGTTGTTCCAAGTTTCCCGACAAAAATTAAATGTTGCAACCAAGGCTATGTTTACTCATCATTTCCTTTGGCTTGATGATGGCTGGCCAACAAAATAGCCAATTCAATCACTGAGGATTGCAGATTTCACTCAATCATTTCCTGTGCAAATTTAAAATGTTGACATTTTTTCAATTGTCTTTTCAATTGTCGTTTCAAGTTGATCATGGAATTTGGTAATAAATACTGATAAAGCCTGCCAACAGGCTTATTACATTATAATGTATCCATAATTAATAAACACTGATAAGATAATATGGAACCCACTATAATTAAAATCAGAATATTATGTCATGTTGTTTGCGAGATACCTATTTACTTTGTTTTTAATAATTGAAGCAACCGAAAACTGATCCTCTTGAATGACAAAACAACAATGTTTTCGTTTTAATTATAATTTAATAATATTGGGCAAAAACATAAGGGAAAAACAAGCATATTTGATAAAAGTTTGGAGTAACAATGACAGTTGTTCTAAAGTATTTGTACAAAACGGAAAGAAAAAAATATGAGTTACAGACAAAAGTGGAAAATGAATCACATGAACAAGGAATAGTTGAACACAGATGGCGTCAAAACCTCTGAAAGGAAAACAGTAGGCGACATTCTCGAAATTGGAGAAATTAGACGAACCAATGCAAAAAGAAGAAAGCAGAGAGCATTAGAACGATATTAGAGAACACACTAAAAATGAAAAAAATTACTAAGAACTAACTTTTATAGACCTAGAAAAAGCATTCGACAAAGTGCAAAGAGTTAAATCATGGACATGGTTCAAAAAAAAATAATAATGGGGGAAAATGACGCAGGACTTTCACACATAGAGCAACAAAAGTGGTGAAATTATTGAAAAAAGCAGAAACCGGCAAAAAGTCAACAGGCAGGCTATAAAACAAAGGTTAAAAAAACATTTAGGAAAATTTACAAGCTGTCGAACGGAAATTCTTTGAAATGCATGCTAGAGGTGGTAGAAAAGGGACGATGGATAACAGAAAATTGGCATTTTATAAAATTATATAAATAATTTATTGAAAGTGAACATATTTTTGTAAAAGTGTGTTTTTTTCTTGTTCCAGGAACGACGGAAAGAGTGTGCCTGATAACTGGTAGTGTTGACGCTATAATGACTGTGGTAGATTTTATAATGGATAAAATTAGGGAGAAACCGGATTTGACAAAGCCCGTAATAGAAGCCGGTGATAGCAAACTGACACAAGAACGTGATAAACAAGTGAGTATGTGAACAGCCAATTAACAACACCGTACTAAACAATGTGTACAAACAGTTCGCATTCATGTTGGCATTTTTTCCTAATAAATAGTTAGCCAAAAACGCTTTTAAAAATAATCAGGTGGTTATATAAGACTGATCATTTTATATTATATAAATGGAAGAATGTGTTAATAATTTATTTCAGTAAAAGAAAACGATATTTGGGAATGAGCGGTCGGGTATGAATGAATATTTTAAGAAACCGGAAATCTTATGAATAATTATAGGTTTCAGAAACATAAATTTTTATTGCTTTATGGAATTTTATTCGAATAAACGTTGTGTTAAGCCACAATACCGTTAGGGTTTCGAGGTAGTTTTGAGAATAACATACAGAACGACGGAATGGAGGTGAACAAGTAAACTTTAAAAATATTGAAATGTGCTTTTCCAGGTGGCTAATTACGTTTTTTTTTCTATTTTCAGGTAAAGATATTAGTTCCAAATAGTACGGCCGGCATGATAATCGGTAAAGCCGGAAATTATATTAAACAAATTAAGGAGAGCAGTAGCTCCTACGTTCAAATCTCGCAAAAAGCCAAAGACGTCAGCCTACAAGAGAGGTGTATAACTGTGATAGGTAAGTGAAATTGTAGCATTTTTTTCTGCTGTTTAGTGTACTCGTGTACCTATTGAGATCGTCATATGTTAAAAAGCAATTTGCTATTAGCAAAAGAAAACGGCCGCGGTTAATTGCCTATTTTAGCATTTTCTATGGACTAGTTATGCTAGCGTTTTTGTTTTTTTGCAGTTGGATCAGTGGGGGATTTTTTGTCCAAAAAGTTCCAGAAAAAATTTCGAAAATTAACAAACAAAATTTTTGGGCGAAAATGTCGGTGGTTGGTGCTCTCAAACGAAGCGTTTCAGTGAAAAATGGCGTTTTTGATAAAATATCCAGTAAATTTTTCTAAATCCTCCGATGTACGATTTGCGAGAAAATGCCAAAACGATTTTTGAAAAATGTCGCTTATATCTGCTTTTTTCTCCCAAAAAACGGTTTTTCCCAAAAACTTGTTTTTTTCTCCCAAATGGAAAAATGGTGCTCATAAAATATCTTGCGGTCGTTTTTTCCAAATCTTCCGTTGCATGATGCGGGAGAGAATGTGAAAAACGTTGTTTGCAAAAATTCCCTCTTATCTCCAAAACCGAAAACGGTGGCAAGTTTTTGAACAAGCGGTTGGATACCGGGAGTCAAAACTCATAGAAAGTTGGTATTTGATTTTTTCTCAAAATGGTCCAAAAAGAGCGAGTTCTTCAAATATGGCCTAATTATCGCTTGGCAGGCCTTGGAAGGAAAACGATCAAAATTACTGAAAAAATATCACAAAATTTCGTAATTCGTCTTCAAGCTTGAGTGTCCATACCCACTTTACATGGGGTTTAACCGGCAAATTTCTACCCCTGACGCGCAATTACGCCCATTAGGCGTTAAATCACTTAAATTGCTTCTGAAAAGTTCTGTGTGTGAAAATTGGGTAGTTCGGTGGAGATTTGGCTGATTTATGGAGGTTTAAACTTTCAGGCCCCATAAGAGCTTTTTGTGTCTGTGGTTTTTCCCGTGTAAATCCGGGGGCGAATTTTCCGAAAAACTTCAGATAACTTTGCGGCAAGCATTTTGCAAAAGGTTCGTTGCACTTAAGTGCTTTTAAAGGAAAATGATGGGGAAAGTTGTCTTTGTGTTACTTTGTTGTGTAGCTCGCAACATAAAAAACCCTGCTAATTTCCTTTATTGCCATTTTTTATAGGATAAGTACACGGCTTGTTTTTGATCTCGTAGACGAGTCGTTCTACTCTATTGCACAATAAGTTCGGAAAACAAATAGATCGCTATCCGTTGCAGTAAATCGTGCACTTGACATTTCATGTGGAATGACAACGCTACAATCGATAGTGGTTTTTAAGCCGTTTGCCAAGGTTGCATTTCCCGGGGGTTTTGCATGTTTAAATGCCCCGATTACGTGGCTTTTCTTCAAGCGTTTTCGGGATTTTATTCTAACTAATCAGTTCAGTCAGTAACATTTGAGTGGGAAACTCTGAATATTTATCAGATTTTGCAAGAGCTTTTGTCTCATGCAGTGTTTCTGAGCTCGTTGGAATGTGGCAAATAAGACAGTTAAATTTCAATAGTCAAAACATGTTGATTCACATCGTCAAGCCATTTCCAAATCTGAAGTCCACATCATAAACTTAGCATGGTCATTGATGAATAAATTGTGCTTCTGGGCTTCGCCCACTCGGTTTGGACACTATTCTATCAGGTTGCGTCACTAGGCCAACGATATTATGTGGCGTGAGCTGTTTTTATGTGAGATAATGCGAATACATTAAGGAAATAACATTCCTCAGTTATTATTATTATGCATCACTGTCACAACCCCCGGCTTGTTTTTTTGCTCATTTTTTTTTCACCCCCCTTACTCAATCAATTCTGGTCAGTAAAGCGAAAAGGGGAGCTTCCCATCCAACTGCATGCATATGTCGGTTCAGTTTGCGAGTTATTTTTTCACTTTAATGGAGTTCTATTTATTCTTTTCCTGCCCAGCTTACAGTAATTGTCGTAAACGCTTTAGTGGACCTACATAAAACACGTAAAGTGTTTTTCCGGATGGAGCCGATAGTATGCGGACTTTGCTTCAACGGAAGTGTTTCAACAGGGGATTTACGTATTTTCACGCTTGAAGCAAATGGGAAAGAGTCGGATGGAAGTCGACGATCAAAATTTTCGTTTATGCGGAAGCAATTTTCTTGTCTTGGAAACTTAGAACATTCATATCTGGTTTAAAGTCAAAAACTCTTTGAAGTGATTGTATGCATTTGCGGCAGGATTACTGCTGGCATTACACACATTAAACAAATTACTGCAGCCGAAATGTTTCCATTATGATTTGCTAACCACATGCAATTTATAGCCGTTGTCCGCTAATAGTGGCACAATTTACACTATTTATCCGCTAATGCATTTGATTATCGATTGCACAAAATATGAATTATCGCAGGAAATGCGATTTTGGCCAGTTTATATTGTTTGCACTTTCAGTCAAAGAAAAAAACCGATTATATGATATGAGCCGGTTGGAATAATTAGCTTATTTAAGTGAAACTGAACGTTTATTAACGGTTATATTGCATGCTTTCCATTAATTGTCCATTAGTTCAAACACTTTGCAAATCCAGTTTGGCGTATCTGGATGGACGGTTTAAACTCGCTCAAGTTTCACATTTAGATGTTTTGCATTTAATCATCGCATGATTTGCACAATGTTTTTCGATTTACTTGCACTGAACTTGTGCTCGATTGGTGACCTAATCCGATTACATCATTTGTCCATGGGTTTTTCATTTAATAGTTCATCTATTAGTGTTGGAGCACATCAATGAACTGTAAAATTGGAATGAAGCATTTTAAATTGAACACATGCAATGTAAAACTGTGCACTTGTTTATATTTCCCCATATTCCTAAACAAAACCTGACACGATACTCAAAAGAAGTTCTATTAATACGCCACTGTTTTCCATTATTTCTTCCGTAACGCTGTAAAAGAATCGCTTTGGTAATTAATCGCCCTTCATTACAGGCAACTAATTGCTTTTTAATCGATTGCTGCTCACATTACCAGAGAGCCAATTAATTGCATTATCAACATCTATGTCGGTTGTCTTAATTTTTTTCGTTGTTTCATGTAACTTGCGAGGAACAAGCGCAATTTGCATTGTAAAGTTGAAAGGATCCGTTTCACAAGGCCGTGAAAATTATTTTTTTTTGTTGAAATTCATCATTGAAGTATGGTAAAAGTGTGCATTAGAGTGGATATTCTGTAACTTGTGCTTGTTTCTACCGAAAAACTTCCTTAAGGGAAAAGTAGCAAAAAGGGGCGTTGAGTTTTGAAACATAGAACGTTTTGAAAAAGTCTCAAAAATGTTATTAATCTATTAATATTGCCAGACACAAAAGAGTTTAAAACTTTTCAGATTGCATTGATTGAAATTGCACTTGTTGACTCATAGCCAAAAAAAGATCTGCACTCAAAGTAAATTAACCGAAAATGTAGTAGAACATTAATAGAAACACTTAATATTCCGTTGTTTTAGTATTTTGTATCAGACCTTTATTTCGGATTTATTCCATTTTCAATCTTTTGTTGGTGCTTTGCAACCTGTCCCGAGTAGCTCATAAAAGCCGTCTGATTGTAAAAGAAAAATATATGAGAAGCCCCTTCAGTTATTAAGGCAAAGATTCACTCTTTCACCCATTAATTCTTAATCGTTTTGTTTGGTTCAACACATAGTTTAAAAAGCAATTTTTTAATGGAAAATATTTAATTTTATCAAAACTTTTCGAGTTCAATATCTGCAATTGGGCCTTTTTGGGCGCCCAGGTTTACTTTGATAACAGTTATTTCCATAGATTTCTTAAAGTTTGCTTTCTAGTTAGATGCAAGATTGGTATTTGCGACTTAATTGGAAATAAATGATCTTCAATTTGGGGCCAGTTTGGTTTCTTTTGTTGTTTTATTGTCTTCTTCTTATCGTTTCTGAAGGATTGTTTTACTGGAATACTGGTTTATAGACACTTTCTGATAAGTTCGACAAAGAGTTGATTGTAAGTTTAAAAAGAATTTGAATACTTTTTGCAGTAGAAATGTGGATCTGAAACCATGTTGACAAGAAAGTGAAATAGCAAAAGAAACCAAACTTGGACAAAATTAAAGATTCATTTAATTCTAATTAACTAGACTTGCATTCGAAAAATTTGCTCGAACATGTTGTCTAACAGAAATTTGTTGATTAAAAATTGAAATAAAATCCTAGTTTTCTTATAATTCAGTTAATTTGCATCAAATTTTGAGCACAAACGTACCGATTTAAATAGTTTTTTTAAATTTAAAACAATAAAACTATTTTTGCATTTTCTGATCGTTTTTACGAACCAAAACTGCTCTTGTAAGATTCCGATTTCGACTTGTTTCCGAGATTTTCCACAAAATTAAACATGTTGTTCTGTTGTGTTGCAGGTGAAAAGGAGCAAAACAAACAGGCTTGCATGATGATTCTGAGTAAAGTGGTGGAAGATCCACAGAGCGGCACCTGTTTAAACGTGTCGTATGCTGACGTTAGCGGCCCCGTTGCCAACTACAATCCTACAGGATCGCCGTTTGCGCAGCAAGCAGCGGGCGCAGCGTTTGGCGCATCAACAGCCAGCCTAAACAGCACATTGAGCGCAGCTGCTGTGCAGCAGGGCCTGGTGCTGAATGGAGCGGGCGCAGCCGGATTGAGCTTGAGCTTGAATCTAACCGCGCCCGGACAAAGTATAGGCACTGTAACTGCGCAATTGCTGGATCATATTAAGGTAGGAATTATTCAAAATATCTGCTTAGGAAGTGGTTGAGGAAATTCACGTTTTACGTAATGGTAGAATTTAAATTCATTTCGAATAATGCCAGTATAGTTTGCTTTCACATTTTTTCGTTTCTGAAATCGTCGGTTTTGTTTGTGTCGCAACTAATAAACGCCAACTGTAGTGGTAATCTTTAAGGCTCCAGATGCGGCTTGGAATTTCAATGACCAAATTAGGTAAATGAACGTTAAAGTTTGCCATTATTGAACACGCGCTTAACGATTATGAACCCATTAGATGGATAATTAATACGAGGATTTGGCCTGGCCGTGTTCGTGTACGCGATTTTTTGCAATAAAGTATAGATTTTCTTGCAGATCCAATTGCGAAGCTCCGGACTAACGGAGCCCCACATTGCCGAGATTAGCGCTGCCCTAACAGTACTGGCAAAGTACGGAATTTTGGGGGTTGGCTTGGGGATCGGGAATGCCCATGCTGGGGCTCTTCCCGTCTCCAGCTACTTGAGCGTGATGGAGCAAGCGGGAGCAAATGCGGCAAACTCCGGCGTCTTCGGAGCAGTTGGCCAGATCACGCTCGGAGAATGCTTAGGTGGGTTAATTTTGCAGTGGGTTTTATTGTGCGCAAACACTGCCGGTTTGGAACAGTGCCCAAAACCAAATACAGGCATTGCAGGCAGCATAGTGCGCAAATTACCATCATCAGACAATCAGTGTTACAAATTGTCCATACTAGGCAGTTTTGTGTGCGGCTGCATTTGCATTAATCAGCCAATGAATATGGGTTTCGCTTCAAACTGCTGCGATTGTGACTTGACATTGTCGGCTGTTTTTATTATTTCCTACTGTGTTTGCAACATTTTTGAAATGCCTTTCTAACACGGTACGACGTAAAAAGGATGTGTGCAATCTGCATGCAAATGAGCGACATTCTTGGCAAAAACTTCACATTCGCATTCAAAATTACAATTATTGCTCAAAGTGCATTCCTCCAGGCTTACGGGCACTTACTGACGTGTCATGAACGATTGGCAAAATAATCGAAATGATTCAGATCGGGCGAGCGTGGCGGCCAAGTCGTCGGTCCTTGCATGCATCGTATATGCATTGACCGATGGATTTTTTCGTTTTTTCCAGGAGCAAATTCTCCAACACCGCGATCCAGCCTGGAACGATACGAATCCGCTTTTGATCCATTCTCCGTCCGGCATCAGACGTCCGCTGCCACGGCGCCGATCTCGCTCAACAACAACAGCTTTGGTTTGGGCACCAATCAGCAGGTGACGGTTCTGAGCAAAAGCCCCACGCCTGGCGACATCAAGGTTCATCCCGAGAGCAAAAACGTCGAAATTGCTGAAGTCATTGTTGGTGCCATTTTAGGTAAGGGCTGTTTGGCGGCACCGATCTCTGCTTCCAAGTGGTTTGGTCCAAAAGTCTCCGTTGGATTGAGACAGTGTTGATTTTATTGTATGTTATGTAGGGCCTGGTGGTCGTTCCTTGGTCGAGATCCAGCAAATCAGCGGTGCCAATATCCAGATATCGAAAAAAGGGATTTTTGCTCCCGGTACCCGGAACCGGATTGTGACCATCACGGGTAACCAGCATTCCATTTCGACTGCTCAGTACTTGATCGAGCAGCGCATCAATGAGGAGGAGCAGAAACGTGCTCGAAATAATGGCATCGGCGCCCTCACTATGCAGTGATAATCACGTGCATTCAATTGTTATTATTGACGACGACACTGGACTTGTTGCTGAGTGCGGTCGATTCCAGAGGAAACTCAATCGCAATCGATCAGCTACTGAGGGCCGTGTAGGTCGATTTTGTTTCCAGTTTTGTTTTATATTTTTTGTTTTTCTTTGTGGAGTATTTGTTTGTTGAAATTCTAAAATGTTTTTAAAATTGTTATTATATATTATATAACTGTGTAATCGAGGCTGTTACGTATTTTACATAGAGTTTGTAAGCTTTTCGGTTCGCTTTGGAGAGTCGTTGCATCGGAAAATTTATTCAGTTTTCTCAACCTTTACTACAGCGGGCTTGATGTAATTTGGGTAAAGTTCCTTTACGTCCACTCCGTGTAAATATCTTGCCTGGTCTTCCTCGCGTTGAGGAGACCGGGAATATTGTTACCTGAAGAACTTTACGTTGCTGTTATGAACTTGATCTGATTTTAAGAGAAGCGATAAGTAGAAATAGAGGAATCTAATTAAATAAATTGTGATGATCATCATTAGTCAACCTCATTTACTCTAGAGCATAGAGCATAGTGACCCGAATGGGTCGCCCCCGTTTCAATGAGTTTCCATTCGGATCACTTCGATCGCTATTTCATCACTGCATTACCAACTACGGTTATTTAGAGAGTTATTAGACGGAAAATGTTATTTTTATTCAGTATCGTCACATTTGTTTTCTTTAGATAGGGTACAAAATATATTGATTAATTCCAAAGGCAAATCCTCCTCAACCGACACCGATTAATGAGCGGAGGCGATTTAGATAGGAAAAGAGCGAATATGTGGAGTTGTTTGGCAATTTGATTGTGCACAGATTGAAAGCAACATTTACTTAACCAGCTGATAAATATAACGTAAATGTTACTGTTAATCTATCGTTGATCGAGCATGCCCTGAGAAGACCAAATTCAATATTAAAAGTATTTTTATATGCAAGAGAATTTAAATGTTGCATTCGGATATTTTATCCATGTTGGTCAAAACATGAACATTGCTTCCAATATTTCGAGCTTAAGTAGCGAGTCCCTGTTTATTCTACCGAATTATTGCAGAAATGTAGAGCGGAATGTGGAGATTTTCAACTTTTTTAGTTTGTTGTATATTGTTCTGGAAAGCCAGATATTCTAAACAGTCAATGATGTTCTGTGATTGCGAATTGATTGGCCACAGTAAGTTCTAAAATGATGTACCTGCAAGACTAGCTCAGGCAAAAAAAGAGATCCTATTTACATAGAGAAGAATCTATTATCAAAAGAGAATCAAGAAATACGAAACAGGAAACAAAAGCAAAATTAATATGTCAGTTACCAGCACGCCAATAGAATGGAAGAAAGCCCCTGAAGAACTCGACTTAGTCTTAAAGTTCTTCAATTTGCGTAGATCAATATTTATTGTTTTTACCGCCATTAACCAGCAGATGACGTTGATTCATTGGTCATTAATGAAATGTTGAACAATTTCATCGTGAAGTTGGTTGGCATTCTTTGAGACCCATCTAAAGGCATGACATAGAATTACTTGTAAATATTAAGCTTATATTCAAAACTATTGCTGTTATTTCTTATAGAATCTTAATATATTTAAAATGAAATCATATACGCAAGAGATAAATGTAACTCAATTATTATATACTACTGTTATCGCATGTTGTTGATGTTAATGTTTGGACAGCCCTTCGGCGCTGCATATACACACATTTTTAAACGCCGTTTTCAATTTTGGATTTTTCACATGCGCTAACTTCATTTTAAGAATCGGCTTTACAAAGAATTTGTTTTGATGAACAAGTTCCGACTATTTGATGCGGGAAGTCTAGTCAACAAAGAACATCATCCCGTGATGTTCTACTGTTAAGTTTTATTGGTCAGGGTGCGTTTAGTTGCTTTTTTCGAGCACAAAAGTCCGTAAAGTCCGTAAAGTAAAGCCGAGTTTTAATTTAGGATTTTAGTTGATAAGGAAAATAGATTAAGTTATATAAAGTAAATTTTATGTATGTTCTGTGCAGGTCATAGGCGGATCCTGAAACTAAAACAAATTGTCGCATTCCTGTATATATATTTGAAGATACTGTACGTACACTTTTGTTGCCTTCATTCTCGTTATGGGTTCTTTACTGGAACATTAAGTTTTCCACATAACGGAACAACCACAATGCCAACAATAATTATCATCCGCTAGTTTTGTGGATAACTCAATTTTCCAATGGATTTATTGTCAATTCAAACTATATTTTTGATACCTACATGTTTTCGTTTCTCATATCAAGGACATAGATTATCTCTATATTGGAATAATAGATTAATTTAATTCAGGTTAAATGGTGCAATTATTGAAAAGAGGTCAAATAGATAGTATATTCTAGTGTTAAATGTCCAGAATCTATGTATCCAATCTGCGGAATTTATATCCCTGTTACTGTACTTGTTTCTCATTTGCTGTCCCAATTCACGAATTCATCGTCAGGGTTGTTTGGTCATATTTTGTTCATAAAATTCAAGGAGTTGAGATAAAAGTAAGTGTTTTGTTTCTTATCAAATTTCGGACTGTTTGTTAAATAAATATGGCCAACAATCTGAAACGGACCCATTTCAAATCGAAGAAAAAACAACTCTGTTGCTGTGATATACATTGTTAGTAATGCAACAATTACGTTCATATTCCAAAGTGCAATATACCACTAACTTCATCAATCTAACGGTTTGATCATCCAAAAATCTTGTTGCATTATTAATTGTTCGATTCATCTGGGAAACCATTTTGGGCATACATTGATTACATTAAGCTTGCCTTTTTCGAGTGTTGTTCTGATAATATTTAGTTGTCTTTGAAAAACGCTAAAGTGCGGTTGCCTCAATGGAGTGATTGATGGAATACACAGAAGTGACCTTGTCTTTAGTTGGTCTATTTCATATTATCATTGCAAGACTTAATTTACGGTTTAGATCTAAAAAGAAAAATTAGTCGTAAGTTTGTTGGTGTAAATATTTTATTTTTATATTATTGTTAGTCTCTTATAGTTTGGTCATCCTTTCCATTCCCAGTTGTTACATTTTGTGTTCGAGGTGTCGCTCACATTTCTAGAATTATGTTGTAACTAAAAAGGCCTACATAGTACATAAACGAGTTGGAACATGTAAATTTTATAAGCAAAGACTATAATAACCTAACGGTTAGATGTTGTTATGTAGATTTTTGTGCTCTCATGATAGATTCGGCTAACGACCCCTTCCACTGATTAATTTGCTAACTGTTTAGCGAACAGTCTAGGACAATAAATCCGAAATGTAAAAATTGCGAAATCAGTTCGAATCTAGCATGAGCCACCACCCGTTACTCTCTTGCTACTCTGCTACTACATGTAACTCTAATAGTTCAGCTTTCCACGATTTAATCGAAGTTACCAGTTTTGGCAATTTACATCTTAGAAGTTACAACTGATATGGTTGACGCAAATCGCCGAAAAAAATGCGTTAACCGTGAACACTTTGTTATTGTAGCACCTAAGCATTGCGTCATGGTTTTTGTTTTTGTTAAGTCTTGTTAGCAAGCTTTGCTAATTCTCGTCACTGTCATTGGTTACTGATTAACTTGCTTATTCCGTGAGATTTGCTATATTTTTGTTTGCTGCCTTTCTGGTTTTTAATCTCAATGTTAAATCATTATTTGCTTGTCTAAAGTACCCAATAGATTCGAAGCTCTCAACCACAAATCAGTTATCGTTTAACAGTGACCAGAATTGCATGTAAGTAACTACATAAGAAATATGTTATCAAATAGATTCAGTGATATTAGTTATTGGAAACACGGTTGGGCTGCCAAGTAATCTTGGTGAAACGGGTCATAGATTTTATTTGAATAGTGTATGGGAACATGCACCTTGCTACAGACTGTACTGTAAAAGCTGGTGTCTCGAACAGACCTCGAATTATTTACAGTTTGCAAACGAAACGAGGTTGTTTCGAGACGGCCACAACGTGTTAAAGTTTAAAATTTATAATGTACTGTTTGTAGCTTCTGTTTTCAATTAGATTAGTACACTGCATTGTCAAACACATTATTATTCAATAAACTCCATAGTGCCATACATCGTATTTTTCATGATTTCCTCACGTTTTTCTCTTTCATTTCTCTACCATGTCCATCTAGTGTTTTAGTATTGGCATTTTTTCGTTTGCCGTTTCGTTTTTTCACGCAAAACCAATGCCAGCATTAAAACGCGTTGTCCATCCACAGCTATTTTCCTCAGACTCATGGAATATCATTTTATTTTATTTTCACAGAACAGAAACAGACTACCAAATTAAAAGGGAAAGTGTTTTGTGTCCGTCCGATAATCTAGTCAGTATTTTATTTTTTGTACAATTTGTTAATGTCTGTGATAAGGCTGGTGATTAATAAAAAGTGTTAAGTTTTATTAGAACCGATTGTTCAAATTATTACCTGCAAAAATTGAGGGAAACCACGCACTCAAGGCGATTTTTAAATTTAATTCTTGGATTGGGCAGCAGAATCAATAAGTTTATTTAAAAGTTTTTACAGTAAATGTTTTTTTTCGAAGCTTACTTATGGGCTTCAGGTGGGCAATCGGGTTGGTTACTGGGATGTGCTGCAAGAAAAGCTGGATGCCGTTCAAGCTCCCGGTCGATTCTCAGGATAATCGGGAAAGGCCTTAAATCGACGTGAAATCTTCGCGCATTGAACACTTGGGGAATAAGGCAACAGTCTGCTAAGGTTATTTCATCACCCACGCAGTATTTGCCAGCACAAGATCCTAAAATTAAAGTCTCTAAAGTTTTTTTTGACCTAAAATATACAAAAAACCAGAAAGTTTGCTTTATCTGCACTAGCAGCGGCTTTGTTTCTAAAAATTGCCAAAGTTTCCAGGTTTTTATCAAAGGTCATATTTTTGTGCTGAGTTAAGTACCTAAGAGTTTCTCCACAGCTCTGAACCCTCGATTGATCCAGTGCTTGGCCCATTCATCTTTCTTCTCTTCTCCCACATGAATTAATACGGAAAGGTTTTGTAGAGGTTGGACACCGCAAGCAATCACTTCGCATATTTCGCGCATCTGGAAGTAATTAATTAAATAAAATTAAAAACTGTTAAAGGAAGATTCTTTGAAGCGCTTAAACCTACCTTGGCTCTTTTAACTACATCAGAAGGAAGCAGAGGTCGATGCAGCCTGGTTTCTTCCAAATACTGCATTATGTTTAGGGATTCGACCAATGTGACCGCATCTATGTGAAGAGCTGGAACTTGTTCCATCGGATTCAGCTCTCTGTATTCGTTCGAATGTTGCTCACCTCCAGCTTTGATGAGCGACACTGGCTTGATTTCGTATGGAATTTCCTTGAGGTTTAATGCTAAAAAGGACACCAAATTGCTTACCTTTCTAGTTGTGTAGTAAGGAACCTTTAAATTAGCGAAAAACTTAGATTCTTACCTATTCTCACCCGCCACGAACAAGAGCTTCTCCAGTACGAATAAAGAATTGTCTAAAAAACAAAACATCCTTGTTGTAAGTTTTCGTGAAGACATTTCCTTCTTTGATTGTAGCAAGTTCGAATATACTTTTCCCTCGAAAAACCTCTACCAACAAAATCTGCTTACCTTTATTTGCGGCGTAGCCATCCTCAGTGCACGTAAAACTGCAAAAATCACTTGAATAATTTGAAAATAGCACACTTATCACACTAGAACCGAAGTCTTGACCGAGTGCCGTCCCTGTCTGTAGAGTCTTGAGAGTTGCAATGAGGAGCGATTGGAGGGACCGGCTTATTTCAATGCAAACACATGTAGTATGAGATGCAAAATTAGCGACAGGTTTGCGCGGCATTTGCGAACTAGTTTTCAAAGGATTGCGAGGTGTTTTTTCTGGCTTTCGTTCTTATATCCACACCGATCTGGTTTATAGCGAATAGTAGAAGGGTTGAATTTTGCACCCTAATCCAGACGTTCGTTTCAGTTCTACGGGTTATAAAATGAGATTTGAATTTTGTTTGGACAGATTTTCAATTAGCAAATCTTATTGATGAAAATAAATTACCAATTAATAAACATGAGAATAACAACAACATGTTATACCTATTTATAACGTGGTGAAGGTTAATGAATGGATTACCGCCAGGCGTCGATTGCTGTCCATGTTTATTAGAATAATACAGGCTGGAATTTTTTTAACTTTTAGTTATCACCGCGTTGAACTCAAATCAACCCATGTTCTGGTTGTGAATTTGCAATGAAAACAAAATTACTGTTAAAATGTCTAGTCCTTCTACAGGGCGCTGAAGTAGTCCTCAAAATGTTAATATTCTGCAATCCGCTGGGGATAATTTATTGTAATTCTGCAGGTTTTCAGCCCTGGGCCCAATGCATAATTTGGGGCAAACATTTTAGTTCCTCGGGTTACCCCCCGAGTTTTGAGAAAATTAAAAATCGCTTAACCGAAACACCCTGTATATCTGAAAAAATGGTAGCTCTCCCTCTAAAAAGACAAATTGGCAGAGTTTTTAGAAAAAAAATTATAACATTCGCAAATTAGGCACTTTTTCATCTAAATCAACTGAGGAGTGCAACGAGATCAATAAAAAACGTGCTGAAAGCTTTCGATCAAGAATAAATATTTTAAATCTGTTCTTGAAAATTTTTTGAGCTGCCAAGTTTTTTAACCTATCATACCTGTTTTGCCGTTTAAAAATACTCTGGCCTGGTTGCTGATAGGCGCTGGTTAAAATTTCCATTTCAGCTTTCTGACAGCAAACGTCAGAATGAGCTCCCACTTTAAACATCGCGATTATTTGGCGAAAATGGCACTACCGATCGGGAAAACTGCAAAAATCGCTGAAGGAAACCTTCCCGTTGGCGAAAACCAAAAATTTCCGGCGAAGAAATGCAATAAAACTCGAAAATCTCCAACATTTGACGGAGCTAGAGGAAAACACGGATCTCTACCCGCAAATGACAGTTCACTAATTTGACGGAAAGATACGATGATGTGCGAAGTTTAAAAAAGTGGCGGCTTGATTTTCCCGACAAATTGGACGTATGTTTATAGTACTGATTTTAATTGTGAATTAATAAAAAAATAATTGGGCATTAAAATAACAAAATAATTTGTGTATAAATGAAATCAAGAAATACATTTTTTTATTTAAAAAATCCAATTCCCTTTCTAAGTAGAAATTAAAACCACAAAACATTAGTTCAATCTAGGAAACCGTGAAAATCCTTTTAAAGTATTTTCTTATTATTTCGTTGAAACGCTAATCAACTTTAATTACTTTAATTAGCAGCACTACTACAGAGGAAAATCTATTAAAACACTTCAAGTTTCAAGCGATTACAATAATCACGTTACGATCAATCTTCCAGATCCGGTTTTGTCAGCTCGTCTTTCAGACAAATAAATGGCGAATCCTAAAAAACTCTTCAACCCTTTCATTTAGCGAGTCCGATTGCACGTGCGAGCTTTAAAAATGAGTCGCTGGCGAATTGGTTCGGATACTTTTTTTATCCAACTGAAATTCAACGGAAATATAGAGTCGGTATGTTATCCTTGATATCTGGAAGTTATGGATAAAATAATAAAAAAATAACACACCGCTAATTCTGGCGCATAAATGAAGAGTTTGATGTTTTTAGAGTTAAATTTGCGAAAATATTCAATTCAAAAATTGCTAGCTTATAACCCAAAGCAACTGGAAGTTTGGAACTCTTCCACATTCTGTTCTCTTTCAAATATATTTCGAAATGGCCCAAAAATAGTGATTTTATAATAAAACCACAAATGGAAAGTCCGTTAAAAACCAAAAGCCGAAATCTTTAGCCAATAAAAGAGTTAACGAAATAACCACCCCTTTAACGTGAATTTTGGGCTTTAGAGAAGAAAAAAAGCTGCACTAAACCAGTAGCACATATGGCGAGTTCTGCGCAAGTTTTTTCTCTGTCCAGTCCGGCTCATCCCCTTAAAATGCACGTAATTGTTCGAAGATTGGTTCAGAGATATTCATCATCTCGCTGTCTTTTCAACCGATACGCGGATATAAAAAACACCTTAGAACTGGTCCAAAGGCTGGTGCGTACCAAAGGGTCGGCTGACCCTTCGCTCAGGGTTGGAATTGTATTTAAATAAAATTCCCGAAAATGCCTCCGGTTTGGTAAAAGTCCAGAAATTTGTTTTTGGATATACTGTTGTCCTGGTTGGTTTGGGTAGAAAAATGGACACTAACAGGGACTATTGGGTTTTGTTTGGAATTATCAAAGCCGGCCCTGTTTATGTATTCATCTAACCCGTTTCATTCAAAAACAAACGTTTTATTTATTCCATTCGGAAGGTGTTTTTTACATCCGCCTGTAGAATGGCAGAAAATGGGGTGATGACCGTCTCTTTTGAGTTGGGACATAAGAATTTAGTAAACTCTGTTCATTTTTTTCATTTAAATCAGATTTTTTTTCTATTTTATTAAACACTCTAATTGTGAAAAATTGCCTTCCCGTCCAATTTGTCACCATTTTCCCAAAGTTCGTAAATCATCGTGGCTTTCCGGAGAATAACCTCTGTGATCTGTGGTGCCTACGGCCTCTAGGGTTCAGTGTGTTGAATTCGCTCTTCCAAATTCCGCAAAATTTGGTTTAATTTCCATTTTTTCTTGAAAAATTGTGGATTTTCTGGAAAACGACATTTTCCTTCACCGATTTATGACGTTTTCCCGACCGGTAGTGCGACATTAGCAAAATAATCGCGATTTTTTTAAGTCCAAGTTAAGTTTAATTCTGACGTTAACTGTCAAAAGCTGGAATCGCGTCGTTAACGTGTGCCTATCATTCAACAGGCCAGTGTATTGTTGACATGCAAGTGTTAAGTGAGTCCTGGAGGCATTTGTAAGATTTCTTCAAGGTTTCTAAGAGTTGATGGTCATGCTGATGAACTATTTGGATAGCGATGGGCTAAACTTGGTAATTACATTTATTTTTAGATTTTTGTATAAATAAAAAATCCCAAATTGCTGAAAAAACCACAATTAACATTCTCTTTTCGTATTGCAGTGAACAGAAGGAAAAAATTAAAACTCTGCACATATTTTAAATAGTTTTTTAATCGGCCCTACATTCAGACATTCGCCTCTCTGGAACATTCTCCAAATTATTTATAAGTAGGTACTGCTAACGTATTTTTTGTTTCAACTGAATTTTTGATAGTTAGTAATCATTATCAGTCTCTTCTAATGGCTATTTTCTATCTATGCCTGTGATTATATAAAATTACAAAGTTGTTTCCGCATTCCGAACAGTTCGAAAGCGCGCTAATTGATTTTTGCTAAGTTTTCCACAGTTTTAAGTCTAGAAGCCGTGATCGCATTCAGCTCTAGCAGCTCTTCAATTTGGTCAATAATGTGGTCTAATTGTTTTCAGAAGAAATGGTCGTTACATTTTTTTAAAAATCTAATCCCTAGCAAAGTTAGTAGCTAAAGTCTAAAGTCTGAAGAATTAATTCCAGGTATCCACTATATGTATGTAGGTTTAACATGGATGTTCAGAAAAGGCTTATAAGTAGTTGTACATGAATATTAGGGATTTTGCAAGTTCAAATGAGTGATCAACATTAACACTTTTAACGTGAATCAGGAACACAAAATCGAATGTTTATTATCCCAATATTCACATGGCTGCAGTTTTTTAAATATTTTTATAGCTATTTGTATATATTTTCTAACATTACACTCTAGTAACAAACTTTAACTACACTTTCAATAATTAATTCCGCCAATACAAGACAATGAAAAAAGAAGTTGAATTCCAGAAGAAATTACCTAAAGTTGCAATCAACTGACCTAAATTTTCACATTGAAGGATAGTTTATTACAGTTATGCCACACACATCCATATAAACTTTGACCCACACGGAGATAGTTGGAAGTGGAAAAGTCATTCTTATAACACGTATAACAATAAATACACGATAACAACGAGACGACGCAATGAATTCTTATATTAAAGGCGCTGGAGAAACATGTTTTAGTTGAGCGATGGGAAAACATTCCTAAGCTAAAAACCTACTATTTTTTATGGGCATTGAATTTTCCGATTCTGATTGATCGACCACCGTCCATACTTCAACTCAAATGAGGTTTTTAAATAATTTTCTAACAGTTCGCTCGTTAAAAGATGTTTTCCTTTGACCCTATGTGACACCTCAACCTAATCTAGGCATATTTTGGAAGCATTTTCGTCTTGCCCTAATAATACAGTGTTGAACATTAATAAAATATTCACCATTAACCATTAATTAAACTAACAATAATTTACAATCATTATTATATCACTATGTTACGAAGCCATCCTTTAACATCGATACACGGACAAAAATACTATATCATTTCAAATATATTCGTTCGATTGTTTTGTACATATTCTGCCATTTGTCTGAACGATGCAACCAAAAACGAACGTAAAACGTACGAATTTGTTTATAAAAATCTACGGAAGTCCTTTATTTGCTTATCTATTTACGTATAATCTAAACTATTAGCGGTATTGAGTGATTAACGAATTTTATTTGCTAACTGACTTGAAACGGACAGTTAAGAAAAATACTTTGTATGTGTCATCTGCACACTAACCTCAGATTGTGCCTGAAAATAACACTCCAAAACATGTAGTTTACTTCCGGCGCCCTCAGGACTGGTTTCGACTGGAGCCAGTATTTATATTAGTATTAGTCTACTTTTGATTCTCCACTGGAAGGAATTTGTTATGTACATTGGAAATTGTTTCTCAAATTAAATAAAAATTTCGATGTTTCTCGCATTTTCTTGCCTGTCCGCTTGGTTAAATACTGTAGGGAAAAGTACGTCTGCTAACTAACTATTGAGGGAATATTGTTCGCACGTGAACACACTTGAAATACATCTGAATAACAAACACTAATAGAAAAACATTTATTAGTGTGCAACAAGAAACATTGCCGACGAATTTTATAGTGAATTTGCCACGCTGGGAATTTGGGCATTTTTCTAAAAAGTTTCCATTTGGATTTGCTTTATTGCATGCACCTTAACGGGCCGCTTTTATATCACGGAAACGGCGGTTGAAACAATTAATACTGCATTAAATTGAATAAACGAACTAATTTTTCCTTAGGCAAGACACAACAAATCTATTTGATTCATCTAAGCAAACCGCAATTTACACACATAAAAGCGCCCCTCTGTACATGCAGAATACCTAGGAAAACGAATAATTGCACCTTAGAATCCCTGTATAACGCCATAAGCTTCCAAAGTGGAAACTACCAAGTAAGTAATCCATAATGCGAATAAAACTGAAGAAGTCAAGTACTTGAGGCAAACTGGGCCGCCCAGTTCGCCTCCAACCGCTTTGGATCTTCTGATGAACAAAATCAGGATGGCTACCACTGCTTCGGAGCAGAATATCGTAACGGAAAATGCCAAACTGCAAAAAAATTCAACTTTTATCTTTTTTAGTGGTTTATGTATATTCAGTTCGCCCAAAGGGCGCAAGTAGCGTTATTTTATATCGGCAATGTGACTTCATATAAGGAAAACGTTCAACTGAAATAAATTAATTGATTTTATTCAGGACTTGTTAATATTAAGCGAATAAACACTGAATTTAATTCGAAAGTAAACGTCCTGAACGGCTTGAAGCGAGTGAAACTGACGGAAATACATAAAGGAATTCATTAACGCCAAAGTGCTGGATGTTTGAATTGCGCGTAATTTGAGGGAAATGCAAAAAATCACACCAGGCATCCAAGAGTTTGGGGTTTCTTTTCCCCATTTTCAAGCAATAAATATCAAACAAATGAAACATGGCAGATATTAGGGAAGATTAATGTTCCCATGGCAGCTCATATTTAATGAAAAACGACCCAAAAGTGTAAATAATCCTTAAGCCCCACTGGGCAGGTGAAAATCTCGTTAGGCCCATGAAAACGTACAATAAACGTCTTCAGGTCTTCCTTTTCCCGGAACATTTCTAGCCCGGTTAGAAACATAAATCAAGATTTTCGGCGCTGTCGTTAAAATAAAAGTTTCCTCGCACTTCCTGCGAAATGGATTAAACGAATGTGTCTCAAACAGACCTAATATATTAAGAACTCGTCGTTTTATAGGCGGTGTGAAATGCTTTTAGCGTTTATCAATTCGCCCAGATCAGACAATATATTATGTTGGACTGGAAATGGAAAATTAATTATCCTTCTTGTCACTTCGATGCGGATGCCAATAGCTATTGTTTCCACCAAATAAAGCACGAACGTGCCTAATTGTGTTTGTTTTAATTAGATATATGTATGCATTTTATACTAATTCTAGCAAACAATCATACTGGATATACGAATATTCTGGTGATAATCAGGCGAAACCGTTTTTTGTGTTTTAACTCTGATTCTGTAACATTTTTGCCAGTGCTCAACATTCAATAATTTCACCGCAAACAAAGACTTCTTCCAAATATGAGCACATTTTCACCTATTGCAACCGTAATATGCCATATTAATCAATGCCACTCCATTTCTCGACCTTTTAGGGAAAAATCCCTCCTGTCTGTTGTGTAACATATCAAGAGATAAACGACCAAAACAGGCCTTCTTTATTTAATCTAATATTGCTCCCTGAGAGCCGGAAAAAATGGAAGAAGACGTTTTTTCGGGACTTGGCCTTTTGCCGACATAATACACTTCGCTAGCAGGACAAAGTGAAATTAATTTATCCTGTTTGTTCCTTTTGTTTGATTCAGACTGGAAAAAATGCTCTTTTAAAAGGTTTACGCTGTTTCAGCTCTGTTTCGTTACACGTTCAGGTTGTTAAGTTCTTCTTTGCCAGAACTTTTTTGAATATTGCTTGGTGCGGGATTTGAAATTTGTATGTCTAGAGGCTTGTTAAATATCCTCGATTAATTTGAGATGTTTAAAAACCACTCCAAAAAACAGCCTCAAAGAAGAAAACATTAGACTCTCCAATGGAGGAAACTCATTTTTTCGAACTCACCTTCCCGGGTCCACGTTAAAGTCATTTCCATGAATTCCATGATAAATGGCTGCAATGGACCAGGCGACTCCAATGCCCAGAAAAACATTAACCGCGTTGCTTCCTGTAACATTCCCAACACTTGCGTCTGCATGTTTATCGTGTATTGCTGCCACTTTACTGGCAAATGTATCTGGAAATTGAAAATTTTGTGATTTTAATAAGAAATATAATTTTAAGTGCTCAATTTACTGTATGAAATAAACATTTAATTCACATCACTCGCTCCAATTGTTCCCTAATGAATCCTGCCACTGCTGCTAAACTTATGTGCCGTTTTCGATGAGAATTAACAATTTTATATTTAAAATATACAAAACTAGTGTAATTCTGATTTATTTTCCTGACTGCGTGTACTTGTTATGACTTTCTTATTTGAAGTAAAAAAATTTGAACATCGTTTATTTCATTACGTTTCGGCGAGACAACAGCGCCATCATCAGATTTAAAATTTACACAAACTCATGATTGGTAAAAATCAACGTTCTTTTAGGTCTTTGCCTTCTTGAAACCGTAAATTTGTCTCTCGAAAGACTGGATCTGGAACCTCTGAAATTTCACGCTCAGTTTTAGTCTTTCCCCTGAATATTCCCGAAATTTTCCAGACGAAAACCACAAAGACCAAGACACTATATTTACTCACCTTGGAGGGCCAAAAGCCGCAAACAAGAAAATACCGCAGAGAGCTGAAAACGTTCTCGTATTTCTCGAACAAATAGATTTATCTCTTCGGCTCCGCTTTAGATGAAGTCACATTAGGGGTGTATCGTTCTCCTTTTACTGATTGGGCGTAGAGGGCGATTTTTTTTAAAGGAACTGTAATCGTGCTTTGCTATGAAATACTTTAGTGGTTTAGGACCATTTTTTTTAACAAGAGCAGTGAACAAATCGTTTTTTCCGCAAATACCTGGAAATATCGGAAGATTTTATTGACCTGTCGCCTATGCGCCCTCGCAACTAATCCGGAAATAAACCCATTTGCGTGGAAACCCCGAAGAATCTCCAGATTATTGCCGCCGGTGAATCTTTTCATGTGTAAACTTTTATATGATCCCACCTAGATCGGGACGGCAAAAGCTCCAAAGTGGCCGCAATGGCTCTTTTTCGACAATTTCACAACGAAATTTAATAAAGTTTCTAGAATTCTGCATTGAAAGCATTCTGCAGTTGAAGCCGAAGAAAAATAATCTAAAGGTGCAAATATACAAAATTTGACATGGTTTTCCAAGGCCAACAAGCAACTTTTCCATACTAATATCATATCAGACTCATAAATGCCTGTATAAGGAACCCATTTGGCTCGGCCAGGTTGTTAAAAGAGGCATAAATCGAATGCGCCATTGATATAAAACCAACAAACTGCCTCGTAATATGGTTAGAGGCGTTTTTGGGGCGATATCACTTGCAAAGTGCAATTTTCATAGGCCCCTAAACATACACTGTGCGTTTATGGAGCTGTAAAAGTTGCGATGTTCAACATTTGGTTGGATTGGCGTTATTGGGCTGGATTATTTGCGTTTCTAATTGATGAGTTTCACTGGAATTTTCTGGCTATTTTAACTCACCTGGAATACTGGTTCCGAGGGCAACAAAAACGATTGCAGTAACCCCATCTTTGATGCCTAAAGTGGCTCCGAAGTGGGATGCAACATCTCCTATAATGGCAGTTACGATTCCTATGCAAAAAATTGACACCACGAAGCAGAGGTAGCCTTTGCAGATATCTGAAACCCAGAAATTTATGATTTTCTAGTGTCTTAATCGGGCATTAATTAAGCATCCTTTTAGTATGAATGGAAACGGCGCGATAATTTATGTTAGACGGTTTAAGGCAATTTGTTTAAATATGAGAAAAGTTCCTTGAGCACATCGATCGCTAGTGGCCAGAAAATGAAATTCCCCGTTCAAAATTTTATGTTCCCCCGGATCCAGAGCAAATTCCTTCAGGAATAATGAGATTGTCAAAGAGATTAATGCGTAAAGTTCCCGTGGTTTATACTTTCTCAGCGTGCATTTATACCTGAGATTACATATTTAGACCTCTAGTAATAAGCTGCTAATTATCCTCTTGATGTGTATAAAATGTTGGGGATTCTATTCTCAAAATGAAACGCGTTGCCATCAATATGCAGCTTTCTTCCATCCCTTCCTGAAGGTTTAATTCAGAATATAAATGCGTTCCCAGAAAGATAAATATTAGTTTCCTTTAAGCTAAAACGGAGCAATGTTTGAATGCTTTATATCGACTTCAAAGTCTAGAAGAGGAGAGCTTTGGGCCCGATGAATTCAAGAGGATGGTTTTATAAGGGCGCTTGGAAAAAATCAAAAACGTCTTTGGCAATCGAGGCTATTGCCACTCTTTCGCGACGCCCTCAAAGCCCGAAAAAACTCAGCAGTGTGGCCTTTAGTAAGCTTTGTGGTAAAATTTAAAAAACCCGCCTGTAAATTAATGTTTGCGTTATTCCACGCAGACATGCAGCAAAAGCCCGTATGAATTGGCCAAATTCTTTTTCATACCCAAACACTATTCATCCATTCAGCATACGGTGAATTGCCTTTTATTTGTCCAGGCCGATGAAAGAGTCATTTTCGCTTTCAGGCCATTCAGCTGAATGAAAAGCGATTTCTAATTAGTTGCCCCCAAGGAAAACAACCCTGAATTATGGCCGGTTCTTTTACAGGGAAATATTGCCAACAATATCTGTTGAGTGCGGAAAACTTGCAATAACTTCCATACGGAAAATGATAAAATTAATTTTGGTTTTGTATAAGTGGGAGTTTGAAGTTAATTCGCTTTCAAAAAACACCGATGGAAAATGGGTCGTCTGTCGGTGTTTTGATGAAATTTCAAAGGAGTTTTTCCGCGGCTTGTTTGTTGCAAGTTCAACTTTGTGCTAGTTGTCTGCTAATTAATGTTTGAAAACTAGGGAAATAATTGATCCTAAAAAGGCCTTATTTGGGCAGTCGTTGAAGGTGATTTAAACGCAAAGAAATCCAGTCCAGTTGAGGTCGACATTTTGCGCAAGTAACCAAATCAAAGCACTTTCAGCGCCTTTACAAATAAGACGTTTTTAAGATCAAAACAAAGGAGAAAACCCGAATTTGGCATCTTACCTGTGGGGGGAACAAAAGCGAACAGAACTTTCCAAAAAACGGTGAGAAAGTGCATGAAGTAGTCTAGTTTCGAAGGAGCTTTCTGTTCATCCTCGTTGCTCGCGGTTACAGTGAGCGCCTCAACAAACTGCTCCTTCCACGATGAGGTTCCTATCAGCAGCGAAGCGTTGGCCCGTTGAACTAACTTATCTACGGTGTTCTGGAAGGAAAAATTGCAAAATCATCTTCCAAATTTAACCCAATAGGCCGTTGGTTTGACCGATTAATTCAATCAGCTGCGCTGAAATAGCTGAATGGAATCCAGTTTGTCCGCAGCTGAAAATCGGTTTTGCACTCCATAATGCCACTCAACAGCAGTCAGCGACTGATTGAATAAAGCCTCATCTGAACTGCGAGTGTTTTTGCAAATAGCTAAGCTATGATCAACTCACTGGTTTGGCAATATGGTTTTTCCTAAGCGCTTAATAATTGCATGAAACATCAGGATTTTACTTTTGCACTTCATGGAGCTCTCTGCGTGTGTGCCAAAATGCAATTAGGTGCATCCGAATGTACTCTTATCGATTCTTTTTCAAATTTCAACTAGATTTATCTCCAGTCTGGTCCAGAGTTTATTTAGGGCACTGAATTTTACAGCAGCGATATTCCTGAATAAATTTCTACGTCAAATAGGGAACGATTCGTGATTTTTCAGGGGTTTTATCGAAACTTGAAAGTCAGAAGATTCATTAGATTGCATTTGGATTAGGGCACTATTGGGAACATATGTAA